GATGAATGTGATCATTATGTATATCTAAAATATTCCAATAAAATCTGATTTAAAAAACAAAAAGCAAAAACAAAATACAGATGTATATTGAGTAAAAAGCTTCTTACAAAAAAGAAACTAGCAGGGGGTTGGGGATTTAGCTCAGTGGCACAGTGCCTGCCTGGCAAGCGCAAGGTCGTGAGTTCGATTCCTGGGACCAGAAGAAAAACAAAAACCAAAACCGGAGAAAAACCAAAAAAAAAAAAAAAAAAAAGAGAAAACAAAGTTGGGGGAGAACCACAGAAGCAAGAACTTGCTGAAGAAACCCCCTGGCCCACCTACATATCTGTCTAGATCTCCCCTCCTCACTCTCTCTACCCCGGGGCTTGGCTTGAGCTTTCTGTAATGCACACATTGATGTACTGGCTTGGTTTCCTCTTATCCATATGAGCATGGGTCTTGGTCTGCTACTACTCCCCCAGTGCTCATAACAGCAGGCACACAGTGGCCCTCCACAGATATTTATGAATCGAACCAATTGCATAAAATTGATGTAGATGCACAAGACTACTTGTGGTTCATCTCCACTAGCTGGGAGAATACCTCACAGACTCTCATGTATAACTGCTTTCCTTCTTACCCAGCAAAGGACAGGTAAGGTGACTTATCACAGCCCGACTGTGATGTCTTGCACATGGGCTCTGCATGATGCGCTTACCTCCTTGGTGTCAGATCAGGAAAAGGCAGGAAAAGACCAAAAGAGGCCCTGGGAAGGCTGCCAGGGGCTTCCCTGACCCCACTCCAGCTCTCCTCCTAGGGACATTTTGCAAGCCATAAATGCACACTTGGCACCCTCTCTGCAGGTGTGGCCATGTGGCCAAGCTCCAGGTGATGAGCCTGAGGAGGAAGCGGACAGTGCTTCCAGGAAGCCACCCTAACAGTAAAGGGAGGACTCTTCTTCCCACCTGTTTCTGTTGGTCTGGAATGTAGTTTGATGGCCACACCTGAGAACAGGAGCTGTGACACAGGACACTAGAAAAGGCTGGACACAGACCCTGTATCATGCCTGGGCTGGCTACCTCAGGGCTTCGTTCTGAGAGGGAAAAGATGACTATGTTTGGGCCTCTATGCTGACTTGGGTTTCAGCCACATGCAACCAAACCGAACAGCAATGGCACAAGTACTAGGGAGACTTGTATTCTGGAGGACCACCTGGGTGACTCTCCTTGAAGGACAAGAACTGTTTCCTGACCTTATTTCCATGTACTGATACCTACGGAGCTGACTAGGACTTTTCCTTATCCATTCAATTGGCTCTAAGCAATGCATATCGGTCCAGCCGAGGTGCTGATGGTAGTCTCTGAAGACAGCAGGCAGTGTTTCCCGGATCCCCAGCCACTGTTCCCATGTGTGAGCTGGGAGAGGAAGGAATGAAGAGCCAACGCTCCACACTGTCATCTGGGACAGAGTCTCAGTCTTGAGATAGAGGCTATGACTTTCTGGAGCTTGAAAGATTACACATCAGGGCTGAAGCATCAACCCCAAAACATTGGATACTGTCTCAGTTGTGTTATGCAGATTACTCTTTCTGCATATCCCTCTCTCTGCATATTGCAGAGGTGATTTCAGCTCACAGCACTCACCTACTTTCTGCCATTCTCACAGTCACTCATCCTCAAGCCACTCCCTTCTTCACAAAGTAATGAAACCTGGGTTCGGCCCTGGTTGAGGCCTTTCTTCTGGATAGCCATGTAGG